GTTTTTGAGCACACACAGACACTCGGCGACCGTCGTCTTCTCGTGGATTCGGGAGTGTGTCCAGCCTCACAGGAGCTCGGCATCCCCCCAGAGGCATGTGAGACCGGGATCACTAGCGTTCACGTCAGTGGCGCTAGGCGCTACGCCTTTGGATTATGGCCTGTGTTGTGTCTCGCTTCTGATTGGCTTGTGTTTTGTTAGTGGGCGCGGCATAGCACGTGCTGCACAGCGTTGCACGCTGTTGAATGGGCTCCACGCTTTACGATCGAGCTGCGCCGATCAGTGTTGATTTTCTGTTGTCGGAATTTTCAATATTATTAAAAGTCAGCTATTAGCGGTGCGACGTTTCGCGATTCCGCGTAGTTCGCTATACTTATCGCATAGCTCACTCCACGGGATCTATTCCGTTTAGGTCTCCGTATCTGGATCACTGCTGGATCTAGCATTAGACCGCTGTTTTTAATAATAAGATTTTGTCAGATCCGGTTAACCAACAGACTGTGTCTCTTCGACAGCCGAAACATCCGGCTCCTGTTGAAAATATCCGTGTGCGATGCTGTAATGTTAGAAGCGTAAAAAGCAAACGCGAAGAAGTTAAATTGTTCTCTTCAGTCAGTGATGTGACCGTTCTTACGGAGACATACGACAGGCCTTTCATGACAGATTCCGATTTCGCTGACCTAGATAATTTCAACGTATTTCGAAAAGCCAGGTCTGATGGTCGTGGCGGTGTGGCTATTGTCATTCGTAACACATTACGCGCGATTCCCAGGCCTGAGCTGGAAACTCCCTTACTTGAGATTCTTTGTGTACAGTCTCTGTCTCTTGATCGAATTTTTATTGCGTTTTACGCACCACCCGATAAAAGTATTCATGCAATCCCTGCGCTAATTGAACATCTGCGTTCTCGTTTCTCCCCTCATTTGTTAACAAAATGCATAATCATGGGAGATTTCAATCGGCCTGACATAAACTGGTCAGATAAAACTGCAATTAAGCCAGCAAGCCGTGAGTTGCTACACGCCGTTGAAGAATTTGGGTTAAGACAGATAATTGATTTTCCTACGAGAGAAATGAACTGCCTCGATCTGTGTTTGTTAAGCGCAAATTCACTTTTTGAACCGGCAGTTCCAATCTGTCCGCCTTCTACTAAAAATGATCACATCGGTTTTGAATTTTCTTTGAAATTAAAGAAATATCGCAGAAAATTTCGGATAAAAAAGCGGTGGAAAATTGAAAAAAGTAAAGTTGACCAGTTCCTAGCTGCGCTGAACGCTGTAGATTGGGTTAATCTGCTTGGCTGCCTAAACGCTAACAAACGTGCGGATAAATTTGAAGATGTTTTTTTCGAAACAGCGAAAACTTTTTTCGTTTATGAAAATGTTAAATTGCGTAAAGGATCGGTACAATATCCCAAAAATATCAAGAAGATAATCAATTCTCGAGATCGTGCTATCCGTTTGTACCGGCAATTTAGATCAAGTTATTTTAAATTTAAATGGAAAAATATTTCAAAAAAATGTGACACCCTTGTGCGGAAGTTTGGAAAACAAAAGCTTTCAAATATATCCACAGCTTTTCGAAATAATCCATCGAAGTTCTGGCGGTATATGAAATCAACCAATGATCGAATCGGCATGCCACCCCTCAAGGTGGCCGATGGCACATCCGTAACTACCGATCGTGAGAAAGCAGCCGTACTTAACACAGTGTATCGTAACTCTCAGTCTATGTGTAATGGCCACTGTGCTGGCAGCAGCCTTGATCTGACCTGTGACAACAATGATAATTGGGAAATTTCTGAATTATTAATTTTTGAACAGCTTGCAAAAATATCCGTTACAACATCGAGCGGTAAATTTGAAATAACTAATAAACTTTTAAAAATTGCTGCTTTGTCTATCACTAAGCCGCTTAAATTAATTTTTAATGCCGCTATCAATGAAGGGGTATTTTCATCGAGATGGAAGCATTCTTTTATAACTCCGATACCGAAAATCTCAGCAGATCACAGATTGCCCGACAGTTATCGACCAGTTTCAATGCTAAATCCTGTATCCAAAATTTTTGAACGTTGTCTTGATCAGTTGATTCGTGAACACTTGAGCAGAAACCATATGCTTTTCGATCACCAATTCGCTTACCGGCACAAAAGGTCAACCGAACTACAGCTTTTTCTTTTCGTAAAATTTGTGAATGATTTTATCAGTAACGGCACTGCTGTAGACGCCGTGTTTTTGGACTGCTCAAAGGCTTTTGATAAGCTGTCTCATGAATCCATTATCGATGCGTTAATTCAGATGTATCTTCCCAGTCAAATCGTGCATTTGATTTCTGATTATTTAAAAAATCGAACGCAACGTGTGACAGTCGAAAATGAAATTTCGGATCCGCTACCGGTAAACAGTGGTGTACCTCAAGGTTCTGTACTGGGCCCTTTGTTGTTTATTTGCGTGTTGAATTTCATCCTTTTTGCACTGAAAAACGGAAGCGCCGCTTTCGTTTTTGCTGATGATATTGTTGTTTTTCGTCCGGTTACAACCACAGCGGACACCCAGTTGCTGCAGGAAGACCTAGCGCATCTTGGTGAATGGCTTATTGACAAACAGCTCATCCTTAACGCGGCAAAGTCCGTCCACGTTCGTTTCTCAAAAAAGAAATCTCCTGATTCTTCATATCAGTACAGTATTAACAATGTTCCTGTACCAAAGTCTGATTACGTAAAGCACTTGGGAATATTTGTTGATCGAAAACTGAACTTCAAAATCAACAGCGAAAATGTAGCAAAAAAATGCAACAAAAGAGTCAACTACATTAACCACGTTTTTCGCTACACTGACTACGGTGCCCGCATACGGCTCTTTGAAGCACTTGTCCTTTCAGTTATCGATTACTGCTGCGTCATCATGAAGCCGTCACTAAAACAGTCGAAAAATGCCATCGAAAGTTGTCAGAGAAGGTTTTCTAAAACTTTGCGACTCGGAAACGATGTCTTGAATTACGAAAAACGTCTAAAAGAACTTGAATGGGACGATCTGATTACGCGCCGTCTGAAAAAAGCACTGCTGTTTATGTACAAATTAGTGTTTCGGGTTGTTCCGATGGGTGATCTAATTGTATCTCCCCTGAAATTCTCTGCTGCTGTGCTTGAGTCTGTTGCAGGAAATACCAGAATATCAGAACGCCTCCTGAATCACCCGTGCCCGATTGAGCCGTCCCCAACAACCGTTTGTGGAATAACAGTGACCACTGCCCATGACTCGTACCTCAACAGCCTTGTGTCCGTCTGGAATGAACTTCCCCTGATGCCCAACGCCTACGTCACGTTGAATACCTTTTCCGAAGCTTTAAAGACAGTAAACTGGAACGATTTACCATCAGCTAAAGCTTTCAGAACAAGTGACTAGCATAATTACGTCTATTCTTTGGTGTTCAATGATAAAGAAGTAAAATTAGTGAAGTATCACGGTTGCGACTCAGTTGAAACTGTACAAAAGGCGATTACGTGCGTAAGTGTCCTTGCTTTCCCTTTTTCCCACGATTTCTTTTTGAAAACATTTTGAAAATTCGTAATTGTCAATGTGGGTTTTGGTTTTATGCATCGACCCCAGCGCGATCGTCTCCCTTCCTTTTTCCACGATAACACCAACTGATCGCAACCTTTGAGACTCTCTGTACTGCCTTTTCAAGTGTTTTGCTGTTTATTATAAAACAGTGTGTGTTGTTGTCATCGTAATCACTTCATGTTTTCGTGTTTCACTTCATGATGCTGTTGTAATGTTTTGTGTGTTTTTCCTTCCGCTGTCTCGCTGTCTGAAGCTTAGAGGGGGCACTCGCTCCGTGCAAGGACAATAAACTTCCATTATTATTATTATTATTATTATTATTTTGCAGAAGCAATTGTTCAGTTTTACCTTACATAACCGTAACCGTATCAACCGTAACCGACGAGCTCGCTGCTCAGATCGTTCCAATTTTTGATTATTAGTTCCAACTGTTAGTTTCAAGTTAGTTAACTATTGGTTCCAACAAACCTGAGATGCTCAGATCAGATAAAAACCCAAGAAACCTGCTCAGATCGTTAACTGGAAGGGCAAGTCACCAGTATGCTTCGGACATAGCACCAAGAAAAGCCGATTACCCACATTCGCGCTCCGCCCATCGCTGGTAACGTGCAGCTTCTAGCGGTACTGACTTTTTTCCAGTTTGCCTCGAAAAAGCTGATCTGTTGTGGTAAACTCGTTTTGTTGACCTTTTCCCCAGCACTTAGGAAATTATGTAGGCCAACCGGCGATCAGTACATCACACTGAAGTCGTGTCAAACGGCTGAAATGCCTGCTCAGACTGCTTGTGATAAAGTTTTCGGTTGTAAACTATGTGAAGTAGGCATCTCAATTCGATTTGTGTCGATTTACGCTGCTAAAAAAGGTTGCCAAAACAGTTTGTTCGCTCGTGTTGGTTCGGTTGTTCACGAGTCAGATAAAAAATATCGCCTTCTAGCATCGCGGTGAACGAGTGGCTGTTTGGCGGGTCACCTAAAATGCGCTTGAGTCTAACTCGTAGTGCGGTTTCCTTCCACCCCACTGATTACACCCTTTTGACTGGCTTGTGGCAGTTAATAAAACAGGAGCTAAACTGTTTAACCTGCTAAAGGCTGGTTAACGTGCCATCTCTCTGCCAACATGGAACGGTTTCAACACCGCAAACTGACGATTCAGCTGATAGATGAATATACGACAGACGGAAACGTTCATGTCTGTGTGAACGCTGCTGCATAATTATATAGTACATCTCTGTACTTTTTTGTCATGGTCAATACGTATCTGTATTAAATAAAGTACTGCAAAAGTATCAGTTGACAAAATTCTTAAGATGAAGTTTCATCTCTGTTCAGCTAGCTGAAAGGCAAAGTGCTGCATAATTATACCACACAACCTACATTAATAATTATTATCATTGTCATCCGATCGGTGACTGGTGCACGGCATATATTGCTGCGATACCGTTGCGGTCGGGAACACAGCGCAAGAAACTGGAACACAAATTTAATGCCCTTAGGTTCAACCAATAGAATCAAATACGTAACAGAGTTCAAAGATCGCCAACTCGGAAGTCAATGGCGGATTGCGCCACCTTCGACAGCTTGAACACATCCAAACTGGACAGAGTCTCCATCGTCGTCCATTCTTGGTGAGCATTACGCTGCGCCGTCCGCGGATCACCACCGCAATAGACATTCACAATCTATAACTAGGAAAGTGCACTCGCTTTTAGCGGGCACTGCATGACCGAAGCGTAGCGGGATCATATAGCGGGAACAGGGCTTAGTGCTGACGGTAGCGCGATTTTAGGAAGTTTTTACACACCGGATTTATATCATAGAATTCTTTATTTTTTCGCAATAGGCAAATGGTTACTTGGAGGTGTTGAACGACTGTTGCTTGAATGGTTACTTGGAGGTGTTGAACGACGGATTGTCCAGTTTATCCGCGACGTGCAGTGCGGTGGTGTTTCGGGATTGTGAAATGCCGAACAGTTAAGACTAAACCTAAACCAACAGCAAAGACTAAGCGTCTACTAACCACTACACTCGTTATACAGATACTTGCAGCTGGTTAGATGTTTCTGACTCAACGGTGAAAACAAGAAATGTGGCTTATACAGAGCTTTACAAAGAATGAGAACTGGCTCTCGGCGTTACCATACAATCCATTCGGTTTTAAAATCAGTATTTCTATATTATATCATACGTTCCGGCTATAAACTACAACGCGCTTCTGGAGCTTGCATACCCATAGGATTACTTCGCACATCTCAGTATCCTGTGTGCTAACACAGCGCGCCACTCGCTCGGCCAGCCTTGGCAAATCGATCTCCCTCCTCACTAGTGACCTTTCATAGACATCCCACAACTGCATCAGCCGCTGTGCGGGCCCATCATACAGACAGAATTTTGCGCAAGCCACTTGGGCGCTGTTTTGCGTTAGATGCATTTCACAATCCCGAAACACCACCGCACTGCATGTCGCGGCTAAACTGGACAATCCGTCGTTCAACGATTCCAAGTAACCATTCAAGCAGCAGTCCAAATCGCTGAAATCACAGCGGGAAAATACGAGCGTCCGGATGCGCCGCTGTTGCAGGAGGGTGGAGAGCACCTTGAACGCACTCCACATCGAGACCGTGAATTCCGCTGCATCCTCCAAGATCACGGTTGCGGTGGTAGGCGTCAAGTGCTTGAGCATGCATTCAACCAACAGGAACTGCTCCCAACCTCCCGCGTTTGTTTTGCGGAAGACGTGTCGACAGGCGATCCACACATGCTGTGAAAGCGCACCCGCATCCAGCATCGCCTCCCACAGACGGCAGACGCGACGCTTACGAACCCGCTCCATGGTATCCAGTGACTGGAAGATTTCCGCTAAAAGTTCGCGTGGTAGAGGGATGCCGCGTCGCAGTTGCCGGTCTCCGACTGGCGGGGCTTTCACTCGTTTTACAAGGGGAACGAAACGACGGCCAATCCATTCCCCCTCAGGGCTTCCTTCGCCCTCGCCGCGGTCGATAGACTCGTGCCGTACAATAAAGTCCAAATCCGCTTCCTTCACACCAAAGAAAAGCCATTAAAACAACGCGGCCGCGTTTTTATCTGTCTACATCGAAAGCGCATTGAATTACGCGGACGACGGCTGATACTTAGGAACCTTGTGAGCTGGTTGTTGGAGATCCGCGGGCGAGAGCACACCGCGGACCTGGTTGCGGGGAAGGAGTTCCGTAATCGACCCTTCTCCCACCTGCACCTCCACAAGTTCCCAAGCGATGTCGCGGCCGCTGAGCAGTGGGCTGTCCCAGGCCAGCACCCTTTGCGCGGGGCACCAGGTCCACGCGCCATCTGCACCGACACGCAATAAGGCCTGCAAGGAGTGGGTCGGCGCCTCTGGAATATCTAGCGCGCTTGCGTAGCTGAAGATGTTGCCGTACTCGACAAACTCGGAATGCCGCTGTGCGCAGTTGAAATCGACCAGCAAACCGTTCGTCGTGGTGTTGTCACCCGACGCCAGACCGATGACGGCGCCGTGCTGCAGCGTCCCGCTGATCAGCACATCCACAGCGTTCCACTGGTACACGTCGTACACATTGGACTCGCAGTTATGATGAACCGTCGGAAAAAGATGCATGTTTGAAGTTGATGTTTCCGTTAGAAAATTAACGCGTCAGCTCTCCGTCTCCAAACTGGATGATTGAGCTCATACAAGGACGCAGATCTTATCTTTATTACCGTATAACTACGTCCCTCCGCTCTCAGGCGGCAGGCACTGCTAGGCTGTAGTGGCAAAAGCAGAGCTGGCAGAACACTTGTTGACTCTAGCCTGGATTTTATTAAATTTGCAGTTGTTTTTGCATCTTTTCTTCCATCGTCTTTCGATAACTCACTTGTCAGTGAAATTTTTTCTCTTTGAAATTTGAATATACTTATCCGTATCTGAATCATGCATTTGTTCGCGGACAGCTGTCAGAGTGGCCAAGTGTACGACATGTACCAGTGGAACGCTGTGGATGTGCTGATCAATGGTTCGCTGCAGCACGGCATCGTCAAGGAAATATCTGCAGCCTCTGCGGACGGCCAGAAGCACGGCCTGCGGATCGACTTCTGCTGTCCGCAGCGACGTTACGAGTTTGTCGAGTACGGCAACATCTTCCGCAGTCCGGACGTTGTCGAGTATTCCTGGGAGCGATGGAAGCAGGTGACTGCGTGGGCGGAGACCCGTACTGCGCTGCAGGCCTTGCTGCGTGTCGGACGAGATCGCGCGTGGACCTGGTGGCCCGTGCAACTAGCCGTGCCTAAGGACGACAATGTGCGCCGAGCGTATTGCAACGACATCGAGTGTGGACTGGTGGAGGTGCAGTGGGGCGCTGCGCAGACGAAGGAGCTGATTCCGCTCGCCCAGATCCGCTGTGTACCCTCATCCGAGGATCTGCAGGTGCGCCGCGTGGGTGCAGATTATTTTGTGGTCCGCGCATGCCGCCTGCCTAAGGGATATTGGGTGGATCCCCCGCTGGCAGCAAGACTGCTGTGGCAGAAGATCAACCGCGAGTTCAGCGCCTGCTGCGTCGTCGTGCGCAAGGCCAGCTTCACGTACTTACAGCGCAGCGATGCAGATCCTATTCTACTCGATAAACTGGTCAGTAACTGAATTTTCAGTACTGTTGGCGTTGGCGATTAGCTGTTTTGAGTACGCTACCTTTTAACCCGAGAGGACAGATCTTTCAGTGTTTAAAAATTTTAACTGTCAAGTAGCGCAAGCGCAGGCATTTTTGTTATTGCCCATAAATTCTTAATTTTTATTATTAAGTTTGGAGATAATGCGTGGTAACGCTATGAGTGTTTTGTGTACACTTCTTCTCATGTTAATTGGGACAAATTTTTTGTCTGAGTGTTCCAGTTGAGCGATGCTCGTCACTGTACATAATGCAATTAAATTCCAAAATTTATTCGTATTCAAGTGTCTACTTTTACAGTCTCTTTTTATTTGCAGGAAGAAACCTTTGACTTCGCTAAAAGCCACCAGTCTGTTCAGTACACCGCCCACAGCGACAGCGGAAAACTCTCCGAGGAGAATGGCATGGGCATCGCTTCGTGGAGTTCGTTCCCCCTTTAAAAAGACTCAGAGCTGCTTACGCCGATCAGAATCTAGTGGGACGCGGCATGCCCTTACCCCGCCAAGTCCTGGCGGAAATCTTCCAGTCACTGGACAGCATCGAGCGGCTGCGGAAGCGACGCGTCTGCCGCCTGTGGGAGGCGACACTGGACGCGGGCGCCATCGGTACGTTCCTGTGGATTTCCTGCCGGCATTCCTTCTACAAGGCCCGCACCGAGGTGACGGAGCACTTTCTCCTGGCGTCCTGCATCCTCCAGTGCGCCACGCCCGCCACGGAGACCATCTTATTGGAAGATTCGAGGAAATTGTCGTACTTGTCGCGGGACGTGTATGGCTTGTTAGCCAATCTGTTGCAGCAGCAACGCATTCAGTTGCTGGTCTTGGCCGGGAACGATTTCAGCGATGACGACTGCAATCTGCACGATTATTTGGACTGGATCAACGACCATCTGTCGCGGGTGGCCGCGACCTGCCCAGTGGTCGTATGGCGCGATTGCGAGTTGGCGCTAACGCAGACTAGCGCGAAAGTGGAATTTGCGCGGTTCCGCCTGTCGGATGCCCCCGCACTCCGATTGACGCAGTTGTGGGACGTCTATGAAAGGTCACTGGTGGCGCGGGAGATGGTCGATGTGCCGCGGCTCGCCGCGCGGGTGGCGCGTTGTATCAGGAAGGCCAAAAAGGATATCTCCGCGTGCAAGGGCATATTATGGGTAGGCACGAGGCCGGCTGTTAGAAAGCGTTTATGAGAACACGCGAGAGTCGTTCCACTTGTTTTTGTTTCAGCGTTTAAGTTTGGAGATTATGCGTGGCAATGCTATGAGTGTAGTGCGCACAGCCCCTTCTCGTGTTAATTGGGACAAATTCTTTATTTGATTGTATATACTAAGTGGCGCTCATTGATGTGCTTATTGAAAAATAAAGAAGTATAATACCAGAAAACGCCGTTAAATTGTTTTCTGTTCAGGTTTTGAACAAGTACATCGGTGCGGATCCGCGCACGACGCATGGTGCGCAGCAAGAGTGGACTATGGGGAATCTCAGCACACTGGATGTGTTCAAGCTGACGAAAGTGGCACAGTACGCCTTGGACAGCCGGGTTGACGATGTTTAGCTGAAGATGATCGATTCCTGGATTTTCTCTGCTTTTTTCACCAGCTGTGCTGGCGCTGATTGTAAGTTGCCTTCGGGTTGTGTTTAGCGCTTTTGACTCTTTAGGGTCGGAACATTTGTGATGAATTGTAACACCAGTTTTCCTTCCACTGACTAGAGTTGTGCCGCTTTTACATTGCAGCTTTTACATTGCTCATTTACCGCTTTTACATTTGCTCATTTTTATGCATCTAAAATCTAACTCGGAACGTCTCTAACCGTAATAACAGTTTGTTCTTTACCGTGTTGAACTATGTACGAGTACTTATTAAAGCGGATGGATGTTGTCTAAGCGGTTCACCATGTGTGACTACCTGTTCCGACCAGAGCGTAGCATGACTAGATACCAGAACATTATATTGGAAGCTGCCGATTCTGTTTCTAAACCTGATTTTAGTTTTGTTTCTTCTTCCGTTCTTACGGACGTCGTTCTAATAAATTAGGCTTGCGATCTGGCCGACATTGAACTGGTATTTCTCTCGCTTCTAGTAATGGTAATCATAGCTGATTCGTGACCTTGCATCCTTTTCCAACCTGTACAGTCGTAAGCTCCCTGGAAGCGCTGTATAATCAATTCCAGTTTGAAGCTTTAAGAGCACCGTTTTTAGTGTTTAGTGAATGCGTTACGTTTTTTTAATCTGAGCGCGCTGCCTATTTATAAGCATGGATTTCTGGTCCAAAAGACTAAGCGTAGCGCTTTTTCTTAGAAACGATAAAGAATTTTGCAAAAAAACCATAAATTTACTATTTTTGGTTGAATTTCTAGCGATTTCTAGCGCTTTCTAGCGTAGGAAAGCCGACTGTCAGATTCGCGTTCCGCGCCAAATTTTCTACCTAAATAAATGAATTTTAAATCCCCGAGCGACATACAGGCATAAGGTTCATCATATTCTACAGTCATTACATTATTTGCATAAGTTCCTTTAGTCATGTGTTAACAAATCATTTTCCAAGAGGCAAAAGCCAAGAAGTGCTTTGTAAGAATTCGTAATAATTTGTTATCTTTACCGAAATTTCTACAGCAGTAATTCCCGTACTGAAAACGTGCGTCGGCTTCGTTTACCTTTTTCGTGAAAGTTTACCTTTTTCATAATCTCCGTACATGACGCAGGCTTCAGTCATGCCCTTTAGCTCTCGCTGTAAAAACTTCTACTCTAGTATTCTGTTTTTATTGGGTGTAAAATTTAAGTATTTTAACTATTTTTAAATGGGACTAGGGAGTTTTAATGTGGACTAATGATTGGTAATAATGTAATGTAAAAAAGATATAAGTACATGAAAATGAGAGGCAGTTGCAAAAACACTTCTGCTAAATATGTTGTCCATGTCCGGGAGACTGGCAAAGCACACATATCACAAAGCGTGTTCCTCTATTTGAATCCAGATGGATAAAGGCTTCCGGAAGTTTTCCTGGATGGTGGGTTAGCCGCCAGTGGACACAGGTATCCCGTGTCCGATACGGTACCCCGGGATTGTTGCACCTTCGCCGGTCACCCCATATGGGCCGTATATCTATCTGGAGTGCGGCCGACGCGAGAAGAATTTCTACAGTCTGTACTCTGTACATCGCAGATCAGTCTGGCCGCAACTTGCGCAGGTTGCCCAGACAGGGTGCATAGTTTGTACTCGTACCATGACACTTATTGAAGGTTCTGAGTCCAGACAGGCAGTGGGAAGGGTGTGCGCTGTGAAACCGCGTTCTGGTCTCGATCCAAATTTGACATCGCCTTTGAGGGGGGCCACTTGTTTCCCGTACTCTGTACAACAACCCCTACGGGTAAATGCGCAATTGTGGACTGCAGAGTTTTCGTAGTCGAGCGGTTCGGGAGTTACCTACATACAAGTGTACGAAAGCCGTTATTAGCGAAACGAAAGGTAGCGAGTTCAAGCCTTAGTGTGTCTGATTTTTTTGGTAATTTGGATAAATTTTACTGCGAAAACGCGACTGGGAGTTATTATTAAGCTGTGATAATAATGTCGGCGCCCATTTCATATAGTATACTGTAATGTAACGACTCCGGAGTGATAATAACGTATTTTAACGCGATAGGCGGTGAATGGCAACGGCCAGGTGAGGCCTTGTTACTAAAACCGGTCGACCAATTTTTCTCCAAACACTCTTTCTAAAGTAATTCGGTGACGAAACAGCCAGTACTTTCTGATGGGCACTTGTATATTTGCAAATTAATTTAACTTAAAGCCGTTTATATAACGTTTTTAGTGCAGTTACACAACTTGAACTGGAATTTTTGTTAGATTCTAATGGGACTGACGTCGGTATTGTCTCCGATGAAACTTCATTCGGAAGCAGTTTGTTGTACCTGTGTTGGAAAGATTACAGTTTATGCGTCAAGCCTGAGGCTGCACGAGGTCTCGCACCTACCAGCTGTCCCACTTTTTTTATGTAGATAAACTGGTATGACTCAGAACGTTCATAAATGACTGCGCATGCACTACGTCAATAACAACGTAAATTAAAATCTGTTCCAACAGTTCCAAACGAAGTACTTATTAGCAAAAAACAAGACATAGCCATTATGTACAGATACATACAAAGTCATACGTACTTACTTTCAATAATAACAATACTAATTCTGTTCACCTGAATAAGTGTGTACTTATTATGATGAAGTTACAGTACTAGTAAAAACAGTACAAATAACAATGGAGGCAGTCGCAAATACAATTAAGTTTGGTTGTAGTATTCATCTGTAGAATCACTCATAATAGTGATAATACAGATCTAATTATACGATGTTGTATTGGTGCCCGGCGATTATTGCTAAGCATTAAGGCCAAATAATAATTAATTATCGAGAGATTTGTGTGGAGTACTTAACGTTTGTGCATACGTACACCTACTACGCATATCAGGAATTATTAGTGTCGTACTGCAATGGATTAAGTGTACACTGTACACAATAAGGAAATACAGCACTTAATAAAACCACAAACAGCAAACTAAAATACTGCCCCTGAATTAAAGAATCGGCAACAGCAACATAAAATATTTTTCCTAAGGGAGACGCCGCTTATCGGTAGCCATGTCGAACGATAGTTCACCGGCATGAACAATGTTATCGCCCATCAAACGAGCACACCAACACCATCGACGCGTTTCATCATCGTTTTAACACGAACTGCGAAGCATTAGGCCTAGTTACATATTATCCTAATCATTTTGTACCATGTGCTGCTTTCTTCAAACAGCTGTATTCGAGACATATCCACATAAGATTGCCATTTGTCATGAAATTATCCCAGATTTTTAAATTGCACGCAAATTAAAATTTCGACCGGAAGAGCGTACCCGCTTTATTATTTATTGCTCGAGAAAAATCGAATTACAATTAAAAAAGGGAATATTTTTTATATGATACGGACACTATATAATATTTCGCGTGGATTATCTTTGGCGAAAGCGAGCAGGGTTTCCCACGAATGAGATGATTTATGAGAATTGCTTCCGCCTAAGAAGATGAGCGTCGACCCGAACGCCGCCAGCGACATGGACGTGCCCCCGTCGCAGGACGACCTGCTGATCAGCGAGAGCCCTTTGGCCGACGATGCCGCGCCCTCTTTAGAGGTGACGCCCCTTTTATCGGAGCCGCTGGTGGTGCCCAAGGAGTGGCCGTCCAGCGCCACCTCCGCCCACTCCACCCTCCCGGCCGTCGCCACCACCGAGCTGACGGGCTCCCCCAGCTCCCGCCTCTCCGACATCAACACCGCCGGCCTCGCGCCCGACGCCAACATCAACGAGCCCCCGCGGACGCACTCCATCATCAGCCACACCCCGCCGTCGCCCAAGGCGCAGGCCCGCCGCTCCCTCCTGCTGCATGTCCCGCTGCCGTTGGCCGTCAGCCCCGCGGAGGCCGATCACACGTTTGCGCTGTACGGAGAAATGTTTTTGCAGTTTTTTATGAACAAGTACTGACTTAATTTAAATAAGACCGGAATACTTTAAGCATTACTGGCTAAGATATTATTTTTTTTTCTAAAAAATACGATAGTTAGGATACGCCTATTTTTTATATCAGAATTTATCTGTTTTTTTTTTAACGTCTAGCCTTAAGGTTTTTATTTAATTTTTTTTATTTACAATTTTTTTCAATTTTTATTTGCGGCTTTATTATTACGGTTTTTATTTATAATATTTTTGTCTTGTTTACATTTTGTGCTTTTTGTTTAAATTTTTAGTTTCTTGTTCATGTTTTTATTTAGAGGTTTTTATTTATAATTTGTTATTTGTGTTTCTCAGTTATGCGTATAATTTTATCTTTTTATTTTATTTATATTCGTGATTTATAACTGTTTTATTCAATTGCAGTTTATCCCCGGCTGGCGAGCCGCACGTCCACTTGGACGTGCCCTTCGTGCCGACGGACGGCAAAGAGAAGGAAGAGGAGAAAACCCTGGACGCCATGCGGCGCGGCTCCGACAGTGAGAAAGGCTGCCGCAAATACCGGCACGCGCTGCAGATGCTATATCCGTACCGCTGCGACATCGACGACGACGAGTAGGCACATGCACCCACTCATTTTTCCCGCAACGCTTGTTAACCCAGGTTGACCTTTGCAGAGAAGGACAGCTGTATAGCCGGCTTGATCGCGTAGGTAATTAAGAGTGTTTTGTTACACATTTATATATGGTTATATTCATCAGCGATAATGACCTTTGGAAGGTTAAGACACTGGTCAGCGCGATTTTACAACTTGCAGGCTTCTTCAGCTTTATGCTGTTCTCGTGGATGACCGGCATCATGTGGAAGGCGTATAAACGCGGGCTGCGCCAGCAGGATTTGTGGAAGACGTCGCGTTTCGACAGTTGTCAGCGCAATACTGTCCGGTACGTGTTACCAAACTACGGGCAAGCAAACGAGGATGGGAAGTTAATTGGCAGAATTGCAGATTGCAGCGTATTTGGGATGCGGAAGTGGCCAAGCGCGGCGCCAAGGCTTCCTTCTTCCGGGCCTGCTGGCGTTTCTGCCGGACGCGATTGATTGTTGCGGGATTGGTGTATTGGCTATGCTTGACACTCGGATTTATTGGCCCGGTAAAACAATCCGCAGTTTAATACTTTTATTATTTATGCCACAATTTTTCGTTATTGTTTTCTGAATATATGTTTGTGTATTTTATTATTATTTTTTATTTATGTATTTTATTAATTTTTTTCACTTTAAATTTTTCATCATTCTTTAAATAATGTTAAAAAATTAACCTGTAAATTTTTTTACAATTATTTTGCGTTTCTTAATTTTTATTGCCTCATAACATATTTATTTGTTCGGAACTTTGTTTGTACTGTATGTATTTGTATTGCTTAACTCGGCTGTAAGGGTTGCTTGCTTTGTAGACGCTGTTTGTGCAAAAGATAATCGAGCACGCCAACAACAAAGTCTCCAACGAGGACACGGTCCGCACCGGCTTGCTGTTGGTGTTCGGCCTGTTCGTCAGTGAAATGAGCCGGTAGGTAATCAGCGTCACAGTGTGCATACGTTACTTCGAGACGACGTGACTGTTATACAGGGCCATCCTGTTCGTGGGCCTGTGGGGCATCCAGTACCGCACCTGCGTCCGGCTGCGCGCCGCCTGCCACGGCATCCTCTACGCCAAGCTCTTCCAGCTGAAGAACCTCCACCAGGCCGGCTCCTCGGGCGACATGATCAACCTGGTCAGCGCCGACGTGGGGCGGGTCTTCGAGGCGGTGCGGCAGTCCCTCCTGATGATTGGCGGGCCCATTCTCATGGTGGGCGGGACCGCCTACTCCGTCTGGCTGCTCGGCTACATGGCCTTCGTGGGCGCCGCCGTCCTCATCCTCTTCTACCCCATCCAGGTACCTCGTGACCTTTCCGCTAAGACTTGGTTCCTAATTAGACGAAAATTATACGAGCGTTTTGGACAGACAGCGCTGTCGCGGATTTTGGCGCGTCTCCGCCGTCGGAGCATCCAGGATACGGACGCCCGGGTAAGTCTGAGGAGACCATACATAAAGGTCACTGAACCGGAAGTAATTGATAGTAATCCTTGGCATTTATTTTGACTATTTAAATTAACGCCGAGTAATCTGTGAAGCGTCGCTCGCTAGGGAAGAAGCATAACTTACAGAAAATTGCCTCATTTATATACGTACAGTTATCGGAAGCTTGGCAAGCTGTTTCTAAACCTTACTCTTTTTCTTTCGTTCGTACGGGACGTTCTAGTAAAATTAAGTCTGTGATCTGGCCACACAGTGAACTGGTGTTTCTCTCGATTCTGGTAATCGTAATCATAGCTGCTTGGTGACCTCGCATCCTTTTCCTACCAAAACAGTCATTTGCTCTCTCGAATCGCTGAATAAGCAGTTCCAGTTGAGATGTTTTAAGATCACCGTCTTTATGCAGATTCACTTGATGACGGAGATGATCAACAGCATCCGGCTGATCAAGATGTACGCCTGGGAGGAGTCCTTCTTGGAGAAGGTCAACCGCATGCGCGAGGAGGAGCGCCGGCACCTGGCCATGACCGGCTGGACGCAGAGCATGAACCTGTCGCTGACGCCGCTGGTCCCCGTCATCGCCGCCGTCATCACCTTCCTCAGTCATCTGGCCGTCGGCGGCGAACTGCAGCCGACACAGGTAACCGCCGCTTGCTGCGCTTGGCTGCTGGGTGCTGTGATGTGTCAGTATGGCGTGCTGGCAGGCGTTTACGTTGTTGACCATTTACTATTCCACCCGGAGCGCGTATTACGGGATGCCATTTGCGTTGCGCGCGTATGCCGACTGCAAACCGGCGTGCGAACGGATCAAGGTATTGTATACGTTGGCTTGCAGTGCGCTTTTGCTTCTGTAGTGCGTGGCTGCGTTGCTTTGCTTGATGGCGCAAAATTCTCCACAAACATATCTGTAAAGTTTTTGACGGTTGCCGACATTTTCGATAGGCCTTCAACTTGTTGATTGTATACTACATTCTCGGTGCCGGCGGCATCCGCACCATCGTCTTATCTTTTATGCCGTTAATTAGCATGCGCCTTGCATGCGAGCGCATTCAGGTACCGAATCATCCGAATTCTCTTAATGTGCATGCTAATAATTAAAAAGAAACAACGGCCGATAATTTTGCAGTAGCCGCATAAAATATAATCCGTGCATGTTAACAAGTTAAAGGTCACTTTTTACAGAAAATATTTGCACTCAGCATTTACAACATAATTATCACTTTTAATATAAATAATTATAAATTAGAAATATAAAATAATAACCATGTACATTATCAACTCGTACTATTTGTTAAGTAAGATATTTTGATAGAAATTCCTGACGGTGAAGCCGGTGGAGACGCTCTTCCTCCCTACCTATTCCCCCTCAACAGCGCTCAAATTGAACGCGGTGACCTTTAGCTGGGCACCGCCGCATCGGCCCACTGAGGGTCCCCAAGACGCGACGGAAAAGACGAAGCTGCCCACCGCGCCATCAGCCGCGTCCCTGCACTCGGCCCTGATCAACAACATCTCCATGGAGGTGGACACCGGCAGTCTGGTGGGGCTGTGCGGCCGGGTGGGCAGCGGCAAGAGCACGCTCTTCCACGGATTATTAGGCCAGATCTACGCTAGCGGAGGCGAGCTGGCCGTCCGCGGCCGGCTGGCCTACGTGCCGCAGCAGGCCTGGTTGGTCAACGACACGGTGCGCGAGAACATCTGCTTCGGCGAGCCCTACGAGTACAAGCGCTACAATGAAGTGGTGCAAGTCTGCAGTCTTACTTACGATTTTGCCATCCTGCCGGACGGCGACCAGACGGTAATTACTGTAATTAAATACTGTAATTTGTCAGATGGCGCTGGCTAACCGCGCATCGACCATCGACGGGGAAAGAAAGCAAACCCGGATGTAGGCTTTTAATGCCGAAATCTGAACACACACCGCGCCTTGCGCGCATGCCAAAAACCAACTGGCAAGAAAACGGACCCTGCCGCCAGCACAGCTGTGCTGCAGAAGCCCGCCCTGACAAATTAAATAATTATTAAAATAAAATACTTAAAAAATGTCCTTTCGACTTAAAAAATGTCCTTTACTTAAATAATGTCCTTTCGATCCAATGACAGAAAGCTCCTCTTCGCAGTCAAGCCGGGGTACCACCGTTTTTTAAAGCGACTTGTAGTAAAACTAGCTGATGCCGACAGAGCTCAATGTATAACCCTTCAGTATTGTACTGTATAATCTTCTACCAGCTAGAGCCTTACTTCATCAGGCCAGCAAATGAAACCAATAAAAGAATTTTATATATTTGATAATTATTATTACAATTTAAGTGATTATTTTACTTCGCCGTTTTAACGAAAAACCGCTGCAGTCGCTTGAAAAAGTGTTTTCAAAACTCTTATCTAAATACAACTCCAAACTTGGGATTTCCAATAGTATAAAGGGTGCAAAGTGCCATGTTATTCTAGTAAGCAACTGCGTAGTTAATTGGGCTACTTGGCAGGTCCGTTACATCTCTAGTCAAACGAGCGCCCAGTTAAACGTCAAAAATAATTATTATTAGACTCAGAATACTGTGAACGGAGATTATGTAAAATTTGAATAACGTTGCTGCAGCTAATTTTTTTCTTATTTCTTCTTATGCTGAAGTGAAGGCTTTTCATGAAATAAATAGATTATTAGAAACTGACAACAGTAAAAATTAATATATGTTATATAATTTAGACTAACAGAATAATAAAGAAATAACAGTTTAATAATGAACTTGCTAACGGAATTGTATGTTAATAAGTTAAGACATACAGTAATTAATTGGGCGATTTGAATACTGTTCGTGCAGCGAACGTTTCTGGGTTAATAATAGTTTGTTGGTAGATTGTGGGAGAGCGCGGCGCCATGCTGAGCGGCGGTCAGCGGCAGCGCGTGAACCTGGCACGCGCCGTGTACAGCAACCGCGACATCTATTTACTGGATGATCCTTTAAGCGCCGTGGACGCCAGCGTGGGCGCGTCCATCTTCCAGCGCTGCATCCTGGGATACCTGCGCGGCAACGGCAAGACCGTCCTCCTCATCAGCGGCCTCGTGCAGTACCTGGAACGCTGCGACACCATCCTGGTCTTCCGCGCCGGGACCATCGTGCAGAGCGGCAGCCACGCCCGTCTCAAGTACACCCCGGGAGAGTACCGCGATCTGATCAGTGCCGTGGAGAAGGACAAGGTGGCGCTGATGGAGTCGGCGGCGCCGGTAGCTAGAGAGAAGGAGAAGGCCGCATCGATTCAGCCGACCCTCAACGTCACCGAGTCCAAGTTGGTGACGGTCAGTCCCAGTGACGCCGAGGAGAGCGGGAAGCAGGCGGTGACGATGAAGACGTACGCGCGGTATATCAGGTCGACGGGCGGGTGGCTGGTGTTCAGCGGGGTCATGCTGCTCTTTGCCATCAACATGGGGTTGAACACGTTCTCCAGTTGGTGGTTGAGCTACTGGCTCAGCCATGGAGCGGATGTGAGTAAGGCCGGTGAATAAATCCGGTGTTTCTCGATTTTGCTTAAGAAGCGCTTTTGCTGTACGATTTTGTACAAGAAATACTCAGCGGCTTCAGTAACCCCTCCAGCGCGCATCTAATAACAAGTAACGGAAGACACGGATTCTTTCACATTTAACCGATCAAACTGTTAGTCGATCATACACAGAACCGTTCACGGAACATTAAGAAAGCAAACTTTCATCAAAACATATTCAAACCGTAAAGCGTAAGCCGTAAACCGTATTACTAAAAGCGTGAACTGGAACCGCAAAGATTAGACCGTAAAGTACAAAGTGTAAAACGTAAAGCGTAAACGGTAAAGCGTAAACTTTAAACGGTAAAGCGTAAACTTTAAGCGTAAACTTTAAGGTAAGGCGTAAACTTTAAGGTGTAAACTGTAAACCGTAAAGTGCAAACCAGAAACTGTATGGCGGATATCCTAATTTTAAAAAAAACCTTTTTGAAAAACCTTTTTGAAAAACTTTTTGAGAACGCGTATCTTCTGCAAACGACATCACGTTACATGAACGTTTGGCGAATCTTCTGTTGACAGCTGCGGAATGTGACGTTGGCGGATAATTCCACGGTGGTCGTTCCGTACGTCCGGCTGCACCGCGACACAGCGCTCTATCCCGGCATATATGTGGGCGTGGTAGTCCTCGTCATTGTCATTAGTATCATCCGTTCCTACATATTTATGCAGGTGCGCACAGTAATTTTTGCTTTTTTTGCTCTATGTACATACATAGTTTTTACGTTTTTTCGACTTTCTTTAACGGTTTTTTATAGGTGTCACTGAGCGGCGCCATGCGTCTCCACCAGCAGATGCTGAGCGCCCTAATGGGCGCCACCATGCGCTTCTACGACACCACCCCGGCCGGCCGCATCCTGACCCGGCTCTCGAAGGACATTGATGAAGGTATGCCGCTGACCTTTCCCATACTTCCCTCCGTTTCCAGTGTGCCGCTAACGGCCAGCATGACTGCTTTCAGTTGATTCGCAGATTCCCTTCGTGGCGGAGATCTTCCTGCAGAACGGCTTCTACTGCTTCTTCGCCATCCTCAACATCGCCATCGTCTTCCCCTGGCTGATCATCGCCATCGTCGCCCTGTTGGGCTTCCTCATCGTCATCGTGCGCTGCTTCCGCAGCGGCGTCCGCGACTTCAAGCGCATCGACAACGGCACCACCTCGCCCATCCTCAGCCTGGCCGCCTCCACGGTGGAGGGCCTGTCCACCATCCAGGCCTACGGGCGCGCCCATGACCTAATGCAGCGCTTCGACAACCTGGTGGATATCAACACATTTCCAGTGTTCTGCTTCCATTGCGCTATTCGGTATTGGACAATCTAACTTTCGTTCTTGATTAATGAAAACATTACGCTTTTTTGTGGGTAGGTGGTTGGGTGTGCGGTTGGACTTTATGACCATCGCCTTCACAATCCTTATCGCCCTGCTGGTGGTTCTCCTGCCGGAGCAGATCAACTCGGCACAGGCCGGCCTGACGCTGTCCTTCGCCATCCAGATGAGCGGTATGTTCCAGTACACCGTGCGACTGGCGCTGGAGACCGAAGGCCGCTTCACCGCCGTTGCTCGGATTGCCGAGTACATCGACGATGTGCCGCAGGAGCCCAGGGTTAAGGAGCCCTTCCTTAGTCCCGCCTGGCCGCCCAAGGGCCGGATCGCTATGGACGACGTTGTGCTGCGGTACGACCAGTCGCTCAAACCGGCACTGCGGGGTATCTCCTTCGTGGCGGAACCGGCCGAACGGATCGGGATTGTCGGTCGCACTGGATCAGGTATGACGACTCAATCCTAACTTCATGACTTAATCGCTTCATGAAGAAAAGAGCCGGTTGCACGCGTTAAGTGTAAAGTTATTAATCGAAGCAAGCGGTTTGATCAGTCTTATAAGGAGTCATAACTGATTAATTAAGATTAAGTTACTAGTGGTTCTGCCATGTTATAGCAAATACTAAGCCATGCACGATGACCTTTCGTAGCGGGCTAATACGGAATACAGAAATCGAGGCACACGTCTTCGTCGATCCAGTAAACTATAACTAGTTTAAGAAGCTATTAGCGGTTCTACCTTGTTATAGCAAGTACTGAGACATGCACCGCCTTTCTGCTGTCTAACGCAGAACATTTATACAGGAAAGTCGTCGATCGCGGCGGCGCTGTTCCGACTCGTTGACCTGGAGCACGGCCACATCCTGATCGACGGTTACGACATCCGCGGCCTGTCGCCGCGCACCCTCCGCAGCCGGCTGTCCATCATCCCGCAGGACCCGGTGCTGTTCGCCGGCAGTCTGCGCTACAACCTGGACCCCTTCGACCAGTACGCCGACGAGGAGATCTGGGTGGCCCTCAACAAGGTCAACCTCCGCGAGACCGTCCGGGATCTCGAGGGCCAGCTGGAGTACACGGTGACGCAGAACGGCGCCAACTTCTCGGTGGGGGAACGGCAGCTGCTGTGCATGGCGCGGGCTTTGCTGCGGCGCAGCAAGATCCTCTTCATGGACGAGGCCACCGCCTCCATCGACTCGCGGACGGATAGCCTTCTCCAGGACACCATCCGCACCGCGTTTGAAGGCTGCACCATGCTCACCGTAGCGCACCGGCTCAACACGGTCATCAACTACGACAAGATCCTGGTGGTCAGCGATGGCCGGGTCATTGAGTTCGACACGCCCGTTAAGTTGTTGGCGGATAATACTTCCGTCTTTGCCCGGATGGTGGACGCCAGTCTGGCCGCAGCCGGACACTGATATCGAACTGAGACGCTTCTGTGATTTTTTTGTACTGTGACGTTTTGCTACTGCGGTTTAGTTTTTTCACTTATCGTCGTTGCAACTAGTAAGTGCTGTCTGATTTCTTTTTCTGTCTTTTCTTCTGTTACCACTTTCATTCGCAGAATATTAAATTTGAAAAAAAGGTCACAACTTGATCGTATGATATATTTTTATGCCTGTTACGTTTATTTTATAAAGTATTATTCCGATACAAAAGCAAGAGACAACCCCAGTGGGCTTGTTCGAGGGACTATTGATTCAGCACGCAAAATTGTGGCAGGTGGTGTTGAGCGAAAACAAATGTGCCGGAATGAACTCCAACGCCCGACCGGTGCCCGACTCGAAGAAGGTGCTGGCATTCCCCGCGGCGCAGTCCACCAAGAGGACGCCATCGTCTCCAAAATGACGGTGGTCGCGGGGGAAGTAGTTGCCGATGATAACCAACTCTCCGTCGCGACGCCGACTGAGCAGTTCCGGCCCGCGGCGGAACATGTTACGGAGCCACGTATAAGCGCAGTCGCAGTGCCGTTCGTACAGGTGGTGTAGTATCTTCTCCCGCTTCGGCGGCTGCCCGTATTTGCTCGCTCCGAAAAGTTTCTTCGGCAGTTCCTCGCGCAGCATGTAGTCCAACCCAGTCTCCAACTGCAGCGCACCGAGCAGCGGGAGGTCGGTAAAGGTGTAGGGCTCGATGGCGGCGATGGTCAGTTGGTCGAAGATGATCTGCCGGATCTGCGGCAGCCGGGAGAAGTCGCGCCGGCCGATGCGGAGATCCAGTCCCATGGCGAACCGCACACTGACCAGGCTGGGCAGTGTCCCGGCGTTATACAGACGCTCCGTGGCGGCGCTGGCTACATAGTTGACTTCCAAGTCGACGAGGTTCCGCTGGAGCGGCTGGAGGACGTCCTGGTGCAGCGACTCCATGCGGTGATTGTCTTCGGCCAGCAGCAAGGTGATGGCGCGGTCGGGGTGGTCGCGGAGAACATGGCTGACTGCGGTGAGGGTCTGGGAGCGGTTGTGGAAGCAGCGGATGTTGATATAGGTGCTTTCCTGCCGGTCTTGCCACCCGGTTGGGAAGGAGCAGCGAGCGAGACAGGTTGTGAGTTCGGGACAATCCGAAGCAGGGATGCCGTCGCTGCGCAACTGCGCCCAAGGAGCGGCGGAGGGCGGAGGGGGTGTGGCCATGGGAGAAGATGGTAGACATTCCGGTTCCAGAGCGGCGCGAATTTGGAGGGAGGTCGCAGCATCGCTAGAGGCCGCTAAAACGTAAAATTATGCGCGTATATAGAAACTCGTTACCCAAGAAAATGTGCATCCTCCCAAAAAAGGATAAAAAGAAGTTGCGAAAGGATAGAAGCTGCGCTGGTTAACACGCAAAAGTAAATAATTCGACGGCGCAGTACCGGTGAAAATGGAGCCACACGTCATGAGATATAACAGCGCAGCCATGGGAGAAACACGGTACCATCGTTTCGATTTCATGTTGGATAAAGGTCGGCCAGCAGAGCGGAATATAGAAAAGGAATCTTCAGGTCTGTAAATACAGTACAGAAAACGGCTAAGGGAAACTGACAATTTTGTGCACAATTTAGGTACCGGTGTGCGTTCAACTAGCCAATCAACCAAGTACTAGTACTATACCAACACTATTGCCTACGGTAAATAATTCCATGCTTTTGCCTCGACTCACGGAAAGCACATGTTTCGATAAAATGCGCCAGATCAATTCTCAAAGTGCACAAGGTAGATTCGCGGTGTTGATAATCTCACGTTCATCGACTGAAAAGGAAATAATAATTATTACGTAAGCCGCATACAATACAAACTACATGTAATGTAAAATTGGCGCGCCTTAGCTTTCTGCCTCGTTTTATGGCATTGCACGGCCAAATGACAGCTAACCGTATTTCCAATGAATAATAATAGTACATCATCTGTTTCGATGCATAATTTTCACGGCTACAACCAGACACTGTTATTGTACAGTGGATATATTGGCGCGATGACCGTTTGTGCGCGCAGTATCCGGTTGGCGAGGTATGGATGAAATAAGACTCCGAAAGTTTAAATGCAACCTGGTGTACCAAGTCGCGTTATGGAGCAGTGACTAGTCATCTTCAGGTTTTGTAAAATCTGTGCAAACGCACATAAGTGAGACGCTCCTACACCGTTGGAGCAACTGCCGGCCCACTTGTTCTCGGTCAATAATCCTTCCTGCTAGATACCTGAACTAGTTTAACTACTCTCTTGGTTTTTCTTAAAGAAATTTGTTTCAGTTTATTATTGTGAACAACAGTGTTGTTTGTAATAAGGGAATGAAGAAATAACAATAAATCAGCCAAGTTTTGTAATTAGAGTACGACAGTTTTTAACGGAGAAAAGCAGTTGCTGTAGCCGATGCGCGTCGAGTTACCCGAGCTAAACGCGTCAACTTTCAAGGGGTCAGCGAAGAAATTAGCCTTAAGTCAAAACGAGCATTTTTACGTGCCAAGAGAGAAACTGAACGCGGAAGGGCGCGGGAAAAAGTCGCGTACTCGTGTTTGTTTTTAATCATAAATGGACCAGCATGAAATATGTACGTAAATAATGGTTGTAGCAGCTATGTTTACGATGGGCTACCTGTTTTACGCCCTGGCAGTTTGGCACATTCGGTTCGGATTTTATGGAGCTCATTCGTTTCGCTGGCAGAAAGATATGCGACGTGACAGGGGAACCTCCTTCTACTGCATTTTTGATGCAGAAATTAAGTCTGGCTGTAGGGAAAGGAAATGCTGCCGCTGTTTTGGGCACCTTGAATATGCGTCCTAGGATTTTCGACGGCGCTAACGATTTTGGTTGTTTTTTTAACGTTTAAATTTCTATCATTTTAAGTAGTATTACGCGAATGCACTTTTGCTACACTGATGGCCTTTGCCCAATAAACTTCCCATGTTTACAATTATCACAATCCGAGAAACACCAGTTTACTGTGCGGTCAGATGGCCGGCCTAATTTATTAGCACGTCGTCCCGTAAGAACGGAAGAAGCAGAACTACAAGCAAGTTCATTAGTAGAATGCAGAGTGTGTATAGTCATGTTACGCTCATGGCAAGCCGGTCAGAACAGGCAGTCAGAACGGCTTAGACAGTATATGCTGCGTCATGCACGGTGGCCACATGATACATTTAGCGGTCTTTGGCGGAGTTGCCGATCTGACTTGCTGACCTTGCGGAGTGCTTCCTTCCAGCTCAACTTGTGCTGTCATTTTTGCAAATGAGGCAGGGAGGAACGTGGCAGGTCGTATTGACCGAGAACCAGTGTGCCGGCAGGTGGTCCAGCGCCCCACCGGTGCCCTTTTCGAAGAACGTGCTGGCGTTATAACCGGGACCGCAGTCCACCAAAAGGATGCCTTGGTCGAGTGGAAGGCGGTGGTCGCGGGGGTAGTAGTTGCCAATGACGGCCAGTTCCCCGTCGCTGCGCCGACTGAGCAGCTCCGGCCGACGCCGGTACATGTTGCGCAGCCAGGTATAGTTACACCTGCAGTGCCGCTCGAACAGCTGTTCCAGAATCTTCTCCCGCTGCGGCGATTGTCCATATTTGGTCGCTCCGTAAATATTGAGCCGCAGCTCCCTGCGAAGCATATAGTCCAGCCCGGTCTCCAGCTGCAGCGCCCCCAACAACGGGAGGTCGGTGAAGGTGTAGGGCTCGATGGAGGCGATGGTCAGTTGGTCGAAGATGATCTGCCGGATCTGCGGCAGCCGAGAGAAGTCGCGCCGACCAATAATGAGGTCCAGTCCCATGGAGAATGTTATGCCGACCAGGTTGGACAGCGTCCCGGTCTTGTACAGTCGCTCCGTGGCGTCGCTGGCCACGTAGAGGACCTCCAAGTCCAGGAGGTTACGCTGGAGGGGCTGCAAGACGTCCGGGTGCAGGGAGTCCATGCGGAAGTCATTAACAGCCAGCATTAGAGTGATGGCGCGGTCGGGGTGGTTGCGGAGAACCTGGCTGACTGCGGTGAGGGTCTGGGAGCGGTTGTGGAAGCAGCGGAGGTTGATGTAGGTGCTGTCCTGCATCTTTCGAAACCCCGCTGGGAAGGAACAGCTGGTACTACACCCGGTGATTTCGGGGCAGTCCTTTTCATGGATCACATCGCTGCGTAAATGTGCCCAAGAAGCGGCGGTGGGCGGGGCGGGCGCGTCCAGGGGTGGAGGTGGGTTGCACTCGGTTTCCAGAATGGGTTGGTCTTCGAAGGACGCTGCGGCTTTGTCAGCGGCCACTACAACTCAAAATATTATATATGTTTTTGTCACGGTGTACGCTGCAACCCCCTAAGATGGCGAATAGTTAGAGAAACGCCCCTGTAATGGATTTTCGACTAGACTAGTCTGCCTTTTATGAATAAAATCTATTATTTAACGACACCCCATGTTTTCCCATATTGCAGATTTATAGGATTCAGGTGGCACTACCTATGACAGTACTACGAAACCGTTTATGAACGAAACCGTACTACTATGAAATCATTCTAATTATCAATGCTAAATGACGATTGCGGCAATGGTTAGTAAAGAAACACGGTACTTTCGCTCAACGGTAACCTACCGGTGAAAATGACCCTGCTCGTCATGCACAGGATGAACGCCGCCATAGAGAAACAGTCGATCGCCCGTTTAGAAATCATGATGGTGTTGGACAGAGCTTCTGTCAGCGGCTAGCAGATCAAGAGACGGAATGCAGACGGTTTGTATTCATAAAGCGTTGGAATCTGCAAACCTACAACTGTGCACGGCGCGGGTTTTCTACTTGTCACTGCTTAGAAATTTTGCACGAGCACTGACAAAAAATTTCAGCAAAACTGTGTTTAGCTGTGCTTGCGGTGCAGGCTAGTTTATCTGATGAAACGCGCTAGCTCGATTATCAGTGCATATCTGCTAGATCAGAGATTTGCGGTGCTGATAATCGTACCGCGATAATCAACCAAGGTCACGGTCAGTTTATCAGGTGGGGATATCGGCCAAGGCTGGTTGTTAGCTCAAGGCTACTTGTGCAAAGTAACTTCAAGTAAGTAAATAAAACACACCGAATAAGAGGTTGATACAAAGTACATAATCTGCGATTCTGCTTACATACGAGTACACAGACAGATACATACGTACTTTCACAGCACATACTGTACACGAAACCACAAGTACTTACACATGCGCATAAGAAATCGGCTAAGGCAAACTGACAATTTTGTGCACAATTCTGGTACCGGTGTGCGCAGCCAACCAACCAACCAATATACGTGACGCGGTATGTGTTTGGCGTGGGATGTGACCTGCGTGGATACTGTTGCTATGTCTCACCGGAAAGCCACATCAGTCACTGCGGGATCCGCCGCCGCACAGGCGGAGTATGGGATAGCGGGATTGTACAGGGCAGATACGTCTTCGTACCGTTGGTTTTTGAAACTCTTGGACCATGGGGACAATCAGCTAGCCGTTTAGTGAAAGAAATTGGCAAGCGATTTCAACAGCATACGTGTGAGCCTCGCTCCCATGAGTACCTCCGTCAACGTCTGTCGCTGGAAATTCAGCGAGGCAGCGCTGCTTCCGTTCTCGGTACAATGGAAGGAGCGGCAGCATTAACTGCAATTTTGTTATTTTATTTTGTTATTTTGTTTCGAAACTGTGATTTTACCGCATTTTGTGAAATAAAAAATCGATATATTACGTATAGCCAACCGTATTGCCTACAGTAAGTAATTCTTTGCTTTTGCCTCGAGTCTCTCGACTCACGCAGAGCATATGTTTCGATAAAATGCGCCAGATCAGTTACCTTAGTGCACAAGGTAGATTCGCGGTGTTGATAATCTCCCGCTCATCGACTGCAAAAGGAAATAATAATTGTGTAAGCTGCATACTGTAATGTACGAGTATGTAGTACAAAATTTGTACGCCTACCGGCACACGGCACACCTTATGCCTCGTTTTAAGGTATTCTGCCGACATCTAGTCGTATTTACGTCCGTATATAATATTAATAAATCATCTATTTCGAATCATAATTCTCAAAGCTGCAAGCCTGCAACCAGACGCTGAAATTGTTTTGTAAATACATTGGCGTCAAAACGTATAAATTTTCATGGTTTGAAGCTTCATACATTCACGGTAGGCCAACAACACTACTGTAAAAACCGTTTGTGCGCGCAGTATCCGGTTGGCGAGTTATGGGTGAAATAAATAAGACTCTAAAGAGTTTAAATGCAAACTGGTGTACCTAGTCGCGTTATGATTAGTGAACTTCAGGTTCTGCAAAATATATGCAAACGACATAGGTGAGAAGATCGCTCCTCCACCGAAACATTTTACTCGTGCACCGCCGTTAACCACAATCTTCGCGACCATCCGGATCGCACCATGACCTTGTTGCTGGCCTGAACCAGGCCCAGAGCAACCACCGTATGGACGGCCTGCAACCCTACAGCGGAACCTCCCGGCCGGATCTGCTCAGTCGGCGTCAGGACGGAGAACTAGCCCGCTGAAGCAGTTATGTTTCCCGCGACTGGCGTGGTCTTAGGCGGGTATTCTCATGGTGGACTGCGCCGCCGGAAATTCCAGCACGCTTTTCGAAAAGGGCACGGGTGGGGCGTTGCAGCAACTGCCGGCACACTGGTTCTCGGTCAATACCACCTGCCACGTTCCTCCCTGCCTCATTTGCAAAAATGACAGTACAAACTGAGTGGAAAGGAAGAACTCCGCATGGCCAACCAGTCAACGCCCACCGCGACCGGCAACTTTCCTGTCTAAATACTCCGCAGTACACCATTAAATATCGCCTCCGTGGAAGTCTCAGTACTTACTATAACAAGACCGACCCGCGGTTAGCTGATATATACTTCGAAGGACAGTAGATTAATTACGGCTCATTCGATCGAGCATGTTTCACCACGTAACTGGCGGTAGAGACCGGTATATGCGATGTTTATAAATTTCTACATTTATGCAAAATGAATCTGCCGCTTTACTTATAGATAGGTTTATTTATGCATTTATTACCTGGGCTATTCATAGAATTAAAACAGCAGTACGCGACTTTTCCCAGTACTATTCATCGCTAATTTTTTTTCTTGGTACGCAAGCATACTCGTTTTACTGTAAAATTTTAAGACGAAATTTCCCAGTTTATTGGTTATATCCGCCGACAAGGTGAATCGAAAAGCGGGCCACAGAATTCCTGCGCCAGCGGATCAGCATCGAAATCCAACGAGGCAATGCGGCATCTATCCTGGGAACGGCACCGATGGGGGCAAATTTAGATCAAATGTTCTCTGTGATAAGCCCGCATGAGTCAGTTGATGCTGTGTAATAAGTGAAGTTTCTTGAGCGTTTAAAATGAAGTTTTATAAAATACCAGTACAAAAAAAAAAAGGTGAATCTTTGGGAACTACCCCTGCTGCCGACAGGGGTAACGCCAGTGAAAAAGAAAAGGGTGGACGAAGTGAAGAACATGTGCCAGCTACCGGCTGCGCAATATGTACCGACGTCGGCCGAAGCAATTTATGTGTAAAATTAAAGATATCGGTCCAAAAAGAGCCTTTTGGACCTTTGGTACACCTGAATGCATTTAAACTTTTTGGCATTTTTTAGCAGCCATAACTGCCGAGCCGGATCATGGATGCTGCCCGCACAAATGGTTTTTACGTTCGTGTATACAAATCTAGCCATAAAATCTGGTAAAACCGTAAAACAAAACAAAAGTGTGCTTGGGAGGGCGCGGAAAGGAAGGTTTTCGTGCATGTACACGAATTTGGTACCATGTACCGGGCCAATCGCCCTTTTTCGTCTCGAATTACTCTAGAAAGTGTGTTTTGAGAAAAATTGGTCGACCGGTTTTCGAGAGAAAATTCGGACATTTGAAAGTTGTGCATTTGCATGACACTTTGTCGTAACTGCGTGCACGGAGTTTGGACACGGGTGTTGGCTGTGTGCACGGTTATTTCAGTTTATGATTTCAAATTTTAGTCGTAACATTTATAATTTTCCAGGTCTTATCAATCACAACAGGTTTTCGACCGGTTTCTGACATATTTTTCATGTGCCATAATCTACTCATAGAAATACAGTAGTTACAGATGCTTTGTTTTACGACTCTGAGGTTTTCTACGCGGCTCGATGCAAGTGGTAATGGTGTCGGTTGCATGCTTCATAAGCGGCCACCAAGTATTACAGGAATTCTTACTTGGCTATATTACATAGGAATGGCGTTACCTTAATGCAAAAATCTTCATGGAAAAAATCTTTACAGAGATTCTCACGTCTTCGACTCTTCTTACGGTGACTTTCAAGTACTTCGTGGTACTGCACTAACAAGTACTTCTATAGATATTAACTGGTAACATAGTACTCTGTAATTGCTATGTACAGCAAATTTCGCAGTACGTGCGGCAGATATTTTCGTTAGGAGATTATTATGTATTGGCCTGTTCAATTTTTTTTTATGAAATTACAAATTGATTACAGATTTTCGCCGCTGTTAGTGAAAATTGATCGAGCTGTGCTTTTTTAAAAAAAAATGTAAAATTGGCTTGCAAATTTTCAAAAAATTTTAAATTAATTTGTTATTTATGCCACTTTTTGCTCGAAGTTTTCCAGTTTTTGTAGTTATTATGTACATCATAATTCAGTACATGGATCTGTTCAGTTTTTTTTGTTAAGTTATAAATCAATCATACGGAAATAAATTGAATTTTTGATTATTTTTAAAAATTTTAAATTGGCTTGAAATAATCTGTGGTATTTATAAATCTTTTTTCCATAATTTTTATACTTCATTTTTGATCGGGGCTGCTCTCTTCTTCGTGAGAAATTGTGGGTTAAGCGAGTAGGTTTCCTAAGTAGTAATTATGTAAAAAATTTCTAACTAAATTATACAATTAAATTTAAATTATACACTTAAACAACAAATTAATAATTGTTTAATTATACAATTAAACAAATTATACAATTAAATTATACAATTAAACAATTTAAATAATTTCCCGCGCACGCAGCCAACGCCCGATCCCAAACTCCGTGCACCCAGTCAACACCCGTGCGGACCCAAAAATATCACCCGTGCACGCAGCCAAAACCCGTGTTTACCCGTGCACGCAGCCATAATGTAATAATTAACAGCCAAACTAAAATTTTCTAAACAAATAAAGAAATAATTTCCCTGAACGGAACATACCGGTGAAAATGATATCGCTCGCCATGCACACTATTAACGCCGCCATGGAAAAACAGTCGATCGACCGTTTAGAGTTCATGACGTTAGACGAAGGCGCAGCTTCTGTAAGCGGCTGACAGAGTCAAGAGACACGGAACATCAACATATAAAACGTAATATAAAACGGTCGGTGCGCGCCTAGCCAGCGCCACTTGACATGGTAGCAGCTCACGGTGACGATCGTGGGCTCCACAGCGGGCTTGTCCCGCTCACGGATCACCTCTGAACTGTGGACCAGATCGCGTCCTGTGCCACCCCCCGGGTACGGAGCTCACCCGCTCCTCCGGATTTCCCGTCAGTCGCCGGAGCTGTGCCGTCACTCCCGCAGAACGCGGAGGAAACTGTCTCTCCCAGAAGGGGATGGAGATGTCGCCAAGCCAGAAGTGCAGCGATGGACGGACAAACCCACAGCCACACCGTACCGATGACGGATGCCGACGGTGGACGCAACCCGGACCAGCAGGAAACCTGCGGACCCTTCACCACCACCAACAGCCATGCCAACCCCGATCCCCACGGCCGGATCGACCACCATCACCACGCCGAGAAATTCACCACACCATAACCCTGCCCGCTCTACCTGGGACAGCGACCTTTCCCCCGGCAGAGCAGCGGAATTTCCTCACCGAAACAGCGTATTTTTTGTGGTCATGGCCTTACCTGCGCCCCAAACCCCTGCCCGATTTTTCCCAGACGGTGACCTTTCCCCAGACGGATAAAATGCGGAATCTACCGATTTCCGCATCCGACCCTGGATTGTCGCGACAGTGCGTTGACCCAGGCACTGGACCGCATGAAGCCGAACCAGAACCAGACCGACCGAACCCGGGCCAAACCGACCCAGAACCACTCCTAAACCGAACCTGATCCGAGCCGACCAAACCTGGACCGAGCCGGACCAAACCTGACCGAACTATTCCCCATACCGGACCACGTGAGCCGACCGAACTGGAACCGAGCCACCCGGTAGTACAGTCTATTAGACATAGTACACGGACCGTACCGGTCCCTGTATCCACTGTTCTTTTACGGCGCATCACGCCATTTACCTGCACTTCGCAGGAGCTCAGTGTTAGACCGTACAGGGATGTCAGGGCGGGCTTATGATTCAGCCCTTCTGTCATTGGTTGGTTTTGGGTTTTTTCCTGTCTGGGCATATTCATGCGTTTTGACGGCTCTGTAAGGCAGCTGCGCTGCCTACAGAGACCAGTTGGTTCTTGGCTTGCGCGCAAAGCGCGGTGTGTGTCAGATTTCGGCATTAAAGCCTTCATCCGGGTTTGCTTTGTTCCGCCGTCGATGTCGGTGCGCGCCTAGCCAGCGCCACTTGACAGTAAACTGCATAAAACAGTGAAATAAAACATAGAAATACTTAAAACGTTGAAATCTTCACACCAGCGTACAACTGTGCAAGGTACGGCTTTCGGCCTGTCACTGTTCCGAATTTTGCACGAGTACTCACAAAAAGGTTATAGCAAAACAATCTTTCGCAGTACTTCAGTTCTGACTGCCTTTTTTTATGAAACGCGCTAGCTCAATAATCAGTACTGCAGTGCATATTTGCTAGATCAGAGATTCGCGGTGCTGATAATCGCACCGCAATAAACAACTAAGGTCACGGCCATCTTATCATGTGGCGGCATCAGCCAGCACTAATTTTTAGCGCAATGCTCGTTGTGTAAAGTAAAATTTAAAAAAAGCAGTAAATAAAAGGTTGGTCAGAGAAATTAATTAAATCAGATAGAATAAATAAATAACATTCTTCAATAATATATTAATTAAAAAATAATTAGTTGAATAAATTATTTAAATAAATTTAATAGTTATAAAGCAAGTGCAGTTAGTTAAGCGTTACTTAGCACTGCTTCTTCATATGCCGAACGTACACAGGCGCCGGGCGATGCCGGTTGCATAAAGGCAGGCCACAAAGGTCAACGTATCAGGCTGATAAATCTATAAGAATGGCCGGGCTGACTCATCGCCGGTAGTGGCAGATTCCAGCGTGCAGAAACGCTGCGTTTTATCTGCCGCAGTGAAAGTGGGAAAATTTATTCAGTCTTGCAAATTAGCCTGACGTCCAGAACCTTTCTTACTACTACAACGTTACTGTCCAAATGTCTGTACAACGGCCTTCTTTTTGTTATCGCATGATACCGTAATTATTACATTACTGAACACTTCGAATTCTCCGCGGTGATCGGTTTTGGCCATTAGCGTCATTATTCAGCATTTGGTTCCGCTGCCCGAAGAAACCGACAGTTTAAGTTGATTCAAGTTGAAAATGGTACCACCGGTGATTTAAAGAGCCCACGTGCGAAGTTCGAACCATTCATTTTTTTAATGACCACCTATAAACCGCAGTTAACTGCCAGATTTCGCGGGTGAAGTGCACGACGGGAAACTTATCGCCACTACGAAGCCATATAGTGATCTCAAGGCTGCACATAAACCTTATCGCAAGATACGACCGGCAAAGCAGCACATGATCTCCTAACAGATGCATAACACTCCCGCCAGTCTGCAGCGCTCAGCGCCAGGTGATTGCTGCATTTCCGCGTCATGCGATGTCCCTCGTTCTGCGATCCGATAGAGTTATGTCGCCGCTGACCGAAGTGCCGGAATTAATTCCCGTGTCCGAAACATCAAGCGGACTAACATGGTCATTAATATTCTCCGTGGTAACGGTGACCTTTGGGACGTGGTTCCCGATGGGCTACAGCATCGCGGCGATGAACGGGCCGCAGACGGTGATCCTGACATGGATCCGCTCCATCAAGTGCCGACGCGCGGGGGGCGTCTTCCTGACGACCAACGCCTCCGAAGTGAGCAACGCCACTGCCGCCTTTGATTCGGACACGGAAATATGGTGCCGCTTCGTCCCGGAGGCCGAGCAAGGCAATTTGCTAAAGGACAACCCCCAACTGAACACCATCTGGGCGCTGTCCTCCTCCGCGCTGATGGTCGGCGGCTTCCTGTCCTCCTTCGTCGCCGGCGCCGTCATCGAGCGCCTGGGCATCAAGCGGACCATCCTGGCGGATGCCGGCCTCTTCCTGGCCGGCAACCTCCTCTTCTGCCTCGCCCAGCCCACCGCCACCTTCGAGCTCATCGCCGCCGGCCGCTTCCTGGTGGGCTTCGCGCTGGGCGTGGCCTGCGTGGCGCCCCCGGTCTACTGCTCCGAGATCACGCCCGTCAAGCTGCGCGGCGCCTTCGGCGTCTTCCCCATCCTGCAGTACGTCCTGGGCATGATCCTGGCCACCTCCCTCGGACTGCCCTTCGTTTTAGGGAACGAGGAAGGCTGGATCTGGCTGGTGGTGGTGGCCTTCGTGCCGCCGCTGCTCCTGCTGCTCCTCTTCCCCTTCTGCCCGGAGAGTCCCCGGCGCCTCTTCCTGGTGGCCCGGGAGAAGCAGCGCGCCGAGGGAGTCCTGCGCTGGCTGCGCCGCAACTCCCTCCTCGTCATTCGCGAGATGAAGGAGCTGGAGTCGGAGAGCCAGAACGAGAGCGCCCCGACCGCCGGCTTGTTGGACCTGCTGCGCCACCGCTACTACCGCTCCGTGCTGGCCCTCTGCGTCGTCCCGATGTTGGCCCAACAGATGTCCGGGTTCAGCTGCGTCTCCTTCTACTCCACCGCCATCTTCACCGACGTCGGCCTGGACCGGCTGTCCTCCATCTACGCCAGCATCGGCCTCTGGCTCGTCTACCTGCTCTTCTCCCTCGTCTGCATGCTGCTCGTCGACCGCCTCGGGCGCCGGCCGCTCCTCATGCTCAGCCACGCCGGGATGGTCCTGGCGCTGACGGGCTTCGTGGTCACGCTCAACCTCAAGGACAGCGGGTAAGTTGGTGACCTTTGTCAATTAATAAGGTCTTATTTTTAATATACCTGTACAAGCAAAATGCCATTTTCACTTAAACTCAAACGATCGGATAGCTAGAACAAATAAAACAACTCTTCCAGCTCTTTAGAACAAGCAACAGTACCCAAAACGGAAGCAACAGAACAACAACATCAACAACTCTTTAGAACAAGCAACAGTACTTTAAACGGTGACCTTTGTCATATATATATCTTCGGACATTATCGTTAATCTTTTGTTGATGACCTTTATTACTACTATTTATTTATGGCGTTCATTTATCTTGGTTGATTACCTTTAGACTGATCTGGATGAAGTTTGTGACGGCGGCCTGCATCCCTTTATACATCGCCTTCTACTCGCTGGGCTCTACCTCCATTCCCTGGTTCCTGCCCAGTGAGATGTTCGCGCAGGAGGCCCGTGCCGCCGCGGTGACGTGGATCTCGGTGGTGTCGTGGGGCGCCGCCGTGGTGACCACGCTGGGCTTCCCGCTCATCCTGGCTGTCACGCACGACTACACCTTCCTCATCTTCGTCGTCTGCGTCGTCCTGGCCACGCTGCACATCTACTTCAAACTGCCCGAGACCAAAGGCAAGACCATTGAACAAGTCCAAGCCTTGCTCAGACAACGTTACGCTAATAATTAGACAGAACATTCTCCACAGTAACCGGCAACCAATCGCGCCTGCTATAATTTTCCTGTTAAACCTTTTGCAACAGTATACACTGCTATACAGTGTGCTTTGTTGGATCATGGTATGGCTTATTCGTCTGTATATCTAACGGGAATAAATTTAGCTGGTCCTCAAATGCAGTCTTTCAAGTTTTCCAAATATTGTTAGACCATTTATTATACATGTTAAGGGAAAACTACGGCTGCACTAAGTACGTCAGCTTTTAAACCACGGGTGGATAGAGATTCTGGCTGTTTTTTCAAAGTTTAAAAATTTTACAGTGACCTAATGTGCTTGCGCTTGCACTTCTTGTGACTTTGATGGAAATTGCCTATTAAACTCTGTCACGACTTGAAGGTGGCGTGCCACAAACTCCAGCGACAAACTGTGCAATAAATGAGTAATACATAATCTACATACAGACTACGATTCCGGTCTTCGAAATCGAGCGTGCGTTTAAGCTGACGCATGTGGGCAGTCCGGTACGTAATGGTAAACTGTAATGCAGCAAAAAATACCCGGCACCCCAAGGAAACATTCCACACCGGAATTACGTTTTTCTCGTGATTTTCCACTCGTTTGACGTAAGCATTCGTAGCTTATCCTCTCCTATGTTCGTCCTGTCAGCGTTGTATGCTAGCAAGCGGATGATGAGAATTGCTCCATTTTCCAAGCAGATGCACCATGCGCCAGCAAATAAAGGCGGATCGCATCAGTACCAACGCGCCCAACCTCCTTAAACCATTTTTGAGTGTACCTCGTATATGCACAATACGATTACTGTATAACACCCAAGTGTCAGTCAAGTACTGTATGCAAGTTTGTGTTAACTGCCACCTCGCACTTCCGATTTGACGGTGCTTGAGGCCCACACAGCCGACAAAGTCCCCGGCCAGCATGGATGGTAATTTCAGCTGCGAATCCAATTACACGGGTCTCCGGATCAACGGTAGCCAGTGTGCCATCAGTAACGACACCGTCGACGACAGTACTCAGATAATATTCGTAGAATATGGGCCAGCACACTGGGCGATATCCGGCGTTTTCGCTGTTGCCTATGTGGCGCTCAATCTGCCCATCATCCTGCTCTTCGCTCTCAACCAGCGCTTTCGCAGTTCCTTCTCCGTCTACATCACCTGCTTGGCTGTCTGCAACATCCTGCAGGGCGTTGGTGATCTGTTCCAGCTGATAATCGGTTTGAACATGGCCAGCGAGATCGAGATAGTGACCTACTGGATGTACTTTGAGGCAGTGCTGCACATGCTGCTCATGCAGATGCACGCTCTGATCGCTTTGAATCGTTTGTGGGCGCTGGGCCTGCCTGTCTCCTACAAGCGCTTACACAACCTCAAACTGGCCTGGATACTGTGCGGCGCAACGGTGGGAATGATCCATTTAATGGCTCTGCCTTTAGTTATCTTGAGAAGAGTGACTCCATTCAAGGACAGCACCAAAGACGAAATTATTTATTCCTACGATGTGATACTGACGATTATAACCAGCGACAGCCCGCTGGTATTTAATATAATCTGCTACCCCGTCGTGTGTTGGCTGTATCACAGGAAACAAAAGCGGAAAGCCCAGCTCAGGGCACAAACGCCGACAACTACGCGGTCGATGCATCTGGAGATGCGAAATCGAGCGTTGGTGGATGCACTGAATCCGACCAGAAAACAGGTAACGGAGAATAACTTTAAGTTCAATGAGATAAGGTATCGTACTGCATCTGTTTCTGGTCTGGTGCGTCATTTATAAAGTTTCCCGGAGCTGACCTTTAATGGTATCACATGTACTGTAGATATAAACTGACTGTACTAAAGAACGAGATTCATACGAGATTCGTACGCAAAAACACTTCTGCAATGCTATCCTGCTCGGGGATTGTACCCAGAACACATATCGCGTTTTCGATTGTACCCAGAACACATATTGCATTTGGATAGATAACCGCTGCCTAAAAAAATATTTTGCCAATTTCTGGTCGGTGGCAATGGCGACACCGTTCCAAACCTTTTTGATTAGCTTTTAGTACCGATTTATAAAGCTGTTAGTGCTGTACGCACTAGTACTGTATTTTCTTACGATTTCATCCGAGTTTATAACGATTACGTGGACACGCGCTTGTATTCACTTATTCCCAGTCCTACGTCGTTATCAAAGATAACTGCTAAATAACTATAGATCACCACCATGACTTACGGTTTGATTTTGACAGGAAGTTACTATGACTTTATTTTGTTTTTAGATTGCGCCGAAAGCTGCAGTTGTGAAGAAAATGGCATATGAAAGTCGTCCGTTTGTAGCGTTCAGCGTGCTGACGTTGAGCACGGTCTTCTGCTGGTTTCCCATGCGGTTCAGCTTCGCCATGCAGTCCGCGGGAGCCACACTAACCAATCGCGACTTTTTTGGTTTTGCTACTCTGGTTCAGCCTTTCCAGCCCATTCTGGACCCACTGCTGTTTGCGCTGAGCATGCCCTCTCTCCGGCACGCCTTCGTGTCCGCCATTGTCGGGCTGTGCAGATCCAAATGCTGACATCACATGGTTTGCATTACGCATTTGTTGTCAGACATTACCTTTATTATCATGACGTTCTGATAAGCTCAGTACTCAGCCTACCAACTGGTGGCGGATGCAGCTTTTCATTTGGAATTTTCTTACAATTTATGTTCACGATTCTTTCGGCCTTTCGCTCACTTCGCGTTTGGTCTAAAGTGAAGCGGTTTTGATTTACCATGTATAGCTGCGGAATTTATCCGGCTTACGCTTATTACTGCTGAATAAGTGCTGATTGACTAAATTTTCGTGAAGCGGCAGATGGAGTCTGCGTAAAACTGACAATTTTGTTTTCTTTAAGCGCCATACACATTTGATTGATTAACGGAAGTGCACTTGTAAGTCGTAATAAGGCGCTTATTATTATTACGAGTATTGTTATTATTACTACTACATAAGGAGCAGACAACCCGCTAAACAGGATTTCAACGTCTGGTCGGCGTGTGTGACTGCGAGGTCTTTCCCCTTTTCAAAGATTATACTCGTATCCGTATGTACTTTATCGGAACCGGTGATCGCATCACGTACCGCCCAATAAGCAATGGCAGGAGACATTTTGTCATTTTTGGGGACCTGATGTTGTGCTTGCTGGCAGTTGCTGCACTGTAATAGCCGACAGCCAAGCTTCAGCCTCCATGGCGAACGGTACAGATACAATATATAAGTACGGTAGGCGCTTTCATCACATCGTCCCATGCAACAATAGACCCATGTACCATTCCAGCTGCCGAAAAGGATTTCTACGATGAGCCGGCGCAGGTACCGACTACAGATTACTTGGCGGAAGCGCAATATTATAAACTATAAAGTATTATACCAGAATGCCAAAAAAGGTTACCGTGCTAACAGCAAAACCGGCAGAACGGAATTCCGTGTTTCATGATCCAACTTGATTTTGTCATTGGGAAATATTAGATTTCAAATGGCTTAGGCTCCGTACACTTGAAACCTCTGCATCACATAAACAGTACGTTAGCAGACTGAAAATCGTTTAAAAAAGTTGTACGGATACACACCTGCAGTGACGTACAGCTGAAAAATAAATCGATTCAAAAGTGCCGAGTGCAGGACCAACCTGCTGTCGTATGTAAACAAGCGGATGTTGTCGAAGCAAAAAAAAAACGAATGCGGAAGTGGCGCACATAACCGTAAGCAAACAGCAAAAGTATCTACCTCATATGATGTCAGAATGTGGATCTCCTGCTCTTCCTGTGTCGTCCTGTCATCGCTGAACGTTTACTATTACTCGCTTTTCCGAGCAGCTGAATCAGCGAACATTATTATGGAACATACCGTATTTCGCTGCATTCTTCACTGCTCTTGTTCTGGGGATGGGAAGTTGCGGCGAAAGTACAGGCCAGTTAGTTCATCAGTGAAGTCGGCCGGCGTATCGAAGAGCAAACAGGAGAAGCGCGCGCTACTCAGTATGTGTGGCAACGTATAAGCGTAGAAATTCAGCGCGGAAATGCGGCTTCTGTCCTGGGGACGGTCGGATGTTCTCGAGAGTTAGAAGAGTCGTTTTATTTGTTCTAAGTATTGGGCTGTAAAGTTAAATTTAAATGGCATTGGCTTGTACAAGTTGAAATAAAGTGATATTAATTATGATAATAATGAAATACTCGTAGTACCACATAAAATGCGCCCTCTACAGACCAACACAGGCTTACATAGCCATGCGGGTTGCTACGCGCTAATATGGCGCGTAACCACTACACTACAAATTTACAAATGTATTTATAGTTTATGGTCACCACGGCTTGTCTTGTGCATTCTATGCGGGAAGGCATGCACGCCACGGCGGCCTGAACAGCATTCTGTGCGGGGCGCTAGTTTCAGCCGGTATCCCCGCAAAACTGGAGCCGCGAGGTACATCTCATACGTCAGATCGTCGACCGGACGGGTGCACCACGTTCGCGTGGCAACGAGGCATGTGTTTGGCAGGGGACGTGACCTGCGTGGATACTGTCGCTGTGTCTCACCGGAAGTCCACTTCAGTTACAGCGGGATCCGCCGCCGCTCAGGCGGAGGTTAGAAAGGCGGGATTGTATTTGTACCTGCATGGCAGATACATCTTCGTACCGCTGGCATTTGAAACACTTGGACCTTGGGGAAAGTCAGCTAGCCGTTTAGTGAAAGAAATTGGCAAGCGACTTCAACAACAGACGGGTGAGCCTCGCTCTCATGAGTACCTCCGTCAACGATTGTCGCTGGAAATTCAACGAGGCAACGCTGCTTCCGTGCTCGGGACAATGGAGGGAGCGGCAGCATTAAATGAAATTCTGTTTTTTTTATCTGTTGTTCTTAAACTGTGATGTTACCGCATTTTGTGAAATAATAATTAAAAAGTTTGCAAATATTATGCAGAATGATGCTTTACTGTACGCGCAACAGAAAAAGTAAAGATAGCAAAACCTGTCAGCAAACATGTTTCCGACGACTGCTAATCCGCTCCGAAAATAGAGCAGTTGCATTACTGTACTGATGTAAAAAAGCTGTCACACCTCCACTGCGTCATCACAATGTAATCCACTCCTTGTTCAGCAACATTGGCTAGTGCAGCGATGACGAACGCAAAACGCGGCAACGTAATACTTCGATGCCACGAGAAACGCAAACAATAAAACGAAGAAAAACATCGGAAACGTTTCCGGATGCACCAGCTGGTGCCCCGGCACTCAGTTTACTTTGGCCGCTCCTGTTTTGATTATAGTTTGTATGCGGTAGCCAATATTTACCGTAACTGGATTTTTGGGCTACAACGCCATCCATCAACGGGCCCAACCTGCTACC